GAACGGAACAGAATGAAAGAAATAATGGAATGGAATGGAATAGAACAGAACAGAATAGAATAGAATAGAATAGAATGGAATGGAATAGAATATGGAATGGAATATGGAATGGAATGGAAGGGAATAGAATAGAATAGAATAGAATATGGAACAGAACAGAACAGAATGAAAGAAAGAAAACATGGAATGGGCTAGAATGAAATAAATAATAGAATATAATAGAATAGAACAGAATAGAATAGAGTGAAAGAAATAATAGAAGATAATAGAATAGAATATGGAATGGAATAGAATGGAAAATGAAATGAAATGGAATGGAAAATGGAATAGAATATGGAATGGAATGGAATAGAATAGAATGAAAGAGATAATAGAATAAAACAGAGTGAAAGAAATAACAGAATAGAATGGAATGGAATAGAATAGAATAGAGTAGAATAAAATTGGAATGGACCTTGGAGGTCTTCTAGTCCAATCCCCTGCTCAAGCAGGAGAACTTATAGCATTAAAGGAAGAATTGCTATTTCTGAATTGCATTTTTTTCACTCTTTCCATCTGCTTTCCAACTAGATATTGGTAGATCTTAAATAGCAATAAAAATGAGTGTTTTCTTATTTTCCCGTTCCCATCTCTTTTTAGTCCATGTTTGTGTTTTTCAAACATGGCAATCTTAAAGATAGGTGGACTTTAACTTCCAGCATTCCCTAGCTGGGAATGTTTTTTTTTAATTTTCCTATTCTGTTGGAATTGTTGGAATGTATTTCCATGCAACAATTATAGTACTATTCATCCAGTAGATGGCAGTATTTTCAAGTTTGGGATCTATGGTGTATACTCTATGCTCCTTTGCTCTAAGTAGTGTTTCCTGTTACGGTTGAATAGTTGAGCAGTAAAGCACATGGTGACTGTACATTTGGTTTGTTCGGTGTGTTGTTTTATATAAACAGAATTTCTAACACGTTCCCAGGTCTTTTGTTAGTCTATGTCCATGTTTTTCAAACATGACAACCTTAATACAAGTAGTCCTCGACTTACAACCACAGTTGGGCCAACCCAATTTCTGTTGCTAAGTGAGTGAAGCGAATTTTGCCTTGTTTAATGATCTTTCTTGCCACAGTTGTTAAATGAATCATTGCCATTGTCAGGTTAGTGACAGGTTGTTAAGCAAATCTGGCTTTCCCATTGACTTTGCTTATCAGAAGGCAGAATTTAATCTTACACAACTGGTCTACCCATTCAGGCTGTTTTTTATTATCTTCAGCCTAGTGCGTTAGACTGTGCATGCGCTAGAATGACTGTAACCCATATTGGAATCTTTCCATTGGGAAAAAAACAGCCTTCAAATGCTACCCAAGTAATCCTTGACCTACAATCTTTCATTCAGTAACAGTTTCTACTTACAACGATGCTGAAAAAAAGTGACTTAGGACTGTTTTTTACATGAACGTTGCAGCATCCTCATGGTCACATGATCCAAATTCGGCCGCTTGGCAAATGACTCATATTTATGACGGTTGCAATGTCCTGGGGTTCATGCGATCCCCTTTTGTGACCTTCTGACCAGCAAAATCAATGGGGAAGCCTGATTCCCTTAACCGAGGATCTAACTGAGGGGTGTCAAACTCAAGGGCTGTAGACCACATTCGGCCCACGGGGTAGTTCGATCTGGGCCGCGGGGTCACCCTGAAAACAACAAAGGACCAGCCCGCGGTGCCTCTACCAACGAAAAGCAAGTTCCATTTTCGCTGGCAGAGGGCTGCAGGAGGCCGTCACAGCTGAAAACGGAGCTCTCACGAGAGCTGTACAGGGCCCTCCTGAGCTCCATTTTTGCTGGCCATAGTCTGGAGGAGGCTGTCCCAGCCAAAGATGGCGTGACCCAACAAATGCGCGAACGACAAAAGCGCGCCGACAAAACCGGGGCGCTAAAACCGCGATGTCAAAAGCGCGCCGACAACAGCGCGCCGACAACAGCACGCCGACAGAAGCACGATTTAAGTTAAGGTAAGGTTTAGGGTTAGGTTTAGGTTTAGGGTTAGGGTTAGGTTTAGGTTTATTTTTAGGGTTAGGTTACAGCACGCTTCTATTGGCGCGCTGTTGTCGGCGCGCTGTTGTCGGCGCGCTTTTGACATCGTGGTTTTAGCGCCGCGGTTTTGTCGGCGCGCTTTT